ATATATATATAATAAAATTTACCCTTTTAAGTCATCTTAAATATACAGTTCAGTGGCATTAAGTACATTCGCATTATTGAGCAACCATCACCAACATCCTTCTCTGGAATTGTTTTCATCTTGTAAAACTGAAACTCTGTATAAGATGAACAATAACTCTTCCCCATTCTCTCCAGCCTCTGGAAACCACCATTCCACTTTCAGTTTCTAGGATTTTGACTACTCCAGATACCACACATAAGTGGAATCATCCATTGTTTGTCTTTTTATGCCTAGTTTATTTCACTTAGTATAATATTTTCAAGGCTTCTCCATGTTAGTGTCAAAATTACTTTCCTTTTCAGACTGAATAATATTCCATTATAAAATATACCACATATTGTTTGCCCATTCGTCTGTCAGTAGACACTTGACAACTTTTCCATCTTTCGATTATTCTATTTGCTTCTATACATGTGAGTGCATAAACCGATTTGAGTACCTGATTTCAAGTCTCTTGAGTATATACCCAGGAACAGAGTTGCTGGATCGCACAGAAATTCTATGCTTAACTTTTTAAGCACTAGCCAAACTGCTTCCCACAGCTGCTACACCATTTTACATTTCCACCAGCAATGCATGAGGATTCCAGTTCCTCTACAACCTAGAAACTCTTATTTTCTGGGTGGTGGTGTTGAATAATAACCACCTGAATGGGCGCAAAGTGGTATTTCCATTTATAGGTAAAGGAAACTGAGGTTCAAAAATGTTGACTAACCTATTCAACATCAGGTTGTTGGAAGCAAAGGAGGTTCAATTCTAAATCTAGAGCTCTTCCTTGGGTCTCAAACTTTTTGCTCTATTCCTTGAACCAGCATTACACTAGGAACATAGGGTCGTTGAGAAAACTACAGAGGCGAAAGTCTGTTTGAGAGAAGAGCCTAGCTGAGTCTGTTCTCATTTTAAGATCCACGCAAGAATAGAAAAGCCATCTCTGCAGCATAATTGCCTGGTCAAGAGCATAGCCAAGAACTTCAGATTCTCAGTTATAAATAGAGGCTTTTGAATTCCTGTTTCTCTGACTTTTTTTGGTTAGTCAAGTGGTTTTTGATCTTTTCTTTCTTGCATCTGTACTGTTTCCCCCTAGGGACATTGTGCATGTTCACTTGTGCAACCAATTAGGTTGTTTTGATTGTGGCGCTAACAAAAGGGTTCTTATTGAAACGAGAGTGAGGAAGGGAGAAGAAGAGGAGGAGGAGAGGGAGAGAGATAAGAGAGAGATTATGAGATGGGCATAATCACCATGCACAGCAGCATTTCCACCAGACGAACAAATTTCACATCCATCCTGCTATACAGGACAATAGGAGTTTCCAAACAGGTACTGTAATTCTCTGTTTAACTTCAGGCCTAATCCATAGAAACTGGGTTTAAAGGCCCACTTCCTGCTCTCCCAAGGTAACAGGGTGCTTTCATATCTTCGTAATCTGACAGTCTGAGCATGGCGAAGGCTTAAAAAGAGTAAATGCCTCGATGGATCTCACAGCTAAAAGAATATCTGAGACAAGTCAGGACTCCAGTGTTGGCAGAACCCCGGGGCTTTCTGTATATTGCTCCCGTCAGCCTCCTGCTTCAGCTCCTACTGAAACAGAGCATGGTGAGGGCCACTTCCTCTTACAGTCTCCTCTGTCTCACCTGCAAATGTTTATTATTAGCAGCATGAATGATGGGGCAAAGAAGTATGGAGTTCAATTAGATCACATCTAGGACCCTTTCCAAGAACTTTGGATGGGACCAAGCTGGTCTGAGTTTCTGACTTCATGACTTTTTGCTGTGTGAATCAGGACCAAGGATTTCACCTCTCTGAGCTTCAGTTTCCTTACCTGTGAAGCAGATATATTAACCTAACCTCATAGGATTTTTTTACTGTGAACAACAAAAGGAATATATAACTGGGAACATGATTTAGCAGTTGATATTTGAAATTAATATTCACCAATGAAATTTGATTCATTCTGTTAGAAAGACATTGCAAATTTTGAGTTTTTCCTATATCCTTATATTTGGGGGACAACCCAGCATATAATTTTATATGTACTGCAGCTGAAAATAAATTCAATTCTGCAGGTCGTCCAGTATGGGGTATGTTTCACTGAATTAATTTTCTCCAGCTTCTAGCAGTCCACAGAGACCCACTTAAGCAAGCCCTCAGGACCCATGCCTTAGACTATACCAGTTCCAGCCAGCAGCCGAAGTTATTAACCTGCCCACAAATGCCAGAAAATGCTCTTGAGAGGGCACTGCATGTGTTCACCGAACTACTGCATTTAATCCAAGTTATTAACTACTTTAATTAAATCTAACTCAATCAAATACCTAGACTGTGTCATAGGCACTAGTTTCAGCAGACAGAAAGACAACTAACCTTATTCCCTACCTTAGTGAAAGCACCATGCCTTTGGTCCAGTCTGGGTTTGTCTCACATTTTCTCCTGATTGCGCTGGGGTTTTGGGTTGTTGTTGTTGTTGTTGTGTTATTGTTGGTGGTGGTGGTGCTGGCAGGAGACCAGAGTAGTAGTATTTCCTTCTCAGTGCATTGTATCAAGCAAGTACCTGATGTCAAGATGTGTCACTGGTGATGTTAATCCTGGGTTACACTTGGAGGAGTTAACCTTTGGTTAAGTAGTGGTTTGATTATGTTTTCAGAAGTTACTGTTTTACCCTTTACATTTAATTATGTGGGGAGATATATCAAGACTATACAAATACACTGTTTTTCATGGAGCTTTCACCCACTAATTTTATTATGCATTGTCTTTTAAGTATTTTCTCACTCCAGAAACTTACCTTTTCATTAGGAGTTCAACAATGAGGAAGCAATATGATAATGAGATGATTTCTGATAGTAAAGGTGTTATAAGGACAGTGTAAGAAGTTGAGTGAGAGCAAGAAGTCTCCCTTAGATGGCACATCAGTGAAGCCCTCTCTAAGAGGGTGACATTTGAGCTGAGATCTGGATGACAAAAGCCAGCCTCAATGAGATTTGAGAGAATAGCTCTCCAAGCAAGGAGCACAACAGAGCAAAAGCCTCAAAGCCTGAATGAACAGGCCTATTTGAGAAAAAAGATCAGCCAAGCATGGCTAGAGTAAAGTCGATCAGGGGTCAAGTGTTAGGAGATAAGGATAAGGAAGAAAGTGAGGAAAATCAGACCAGGAACCAGGTAAGCAATATAGGTGAGGCGGGGAGTTTGCAAGCTTTCCATGTGCAGGGTACGGTCTTTGATTAGGCATGTTCTCTGCCTATCCTGTCCAGTGGGGTAGTCACTAACCATGTCCATTATTTCAATGTAAATGATTGGTTAAAATCAAATCGAATCTAAAATTTCAGTTCCTTAGCCATACTAGTCACAGTTTTGAGTACCCAATAGTCACTGTTGTGGCTAGTGGCTGCCCTATGGATCATTACAGATAGAGGACATTTGACAGCACCACTACATATGTCTTCTGCAAGCATCCATTAAGTTCTTTCCTATGGGAGACACATAGCTGAGTGAGTTATGACCCTGTTCTCTAGGAACTTCAAGGTTTGGAGACAAATGTGTATATATACACACTACCACCAGGCAACATGTGAACCATGGGCATAGCCTCCCCCTCAAATGATGGAGGATTTGGATAATACACTAGCAATGGAGAAATTTCTCAAAAAAGCTTAATGGAGAAGTACCACTTAGGTGTCTAGAAGATGTAAGTTTCATCTAGGATGAAAGAATGAAGTAATGACTGAAAAAGTTTGGTATGTGCTGGGGATCTGGAAACATCAAGGGCAAGATGAAGGTAGCAAGTAATCTAGGTTGGCTGTAGTTTGGACATGTGTAGGAGAATGTAAGAGGGGATTAGCAGGTAGGTGGGCGATGAAGGGCCTTGGAACCAAGTTAAAGAGTTTTATCGTTATCCTAGAGGCAGTGGGGAAGCTATTGATGATTTTTGCAAAGGGAGTAATATTGTGCTTCAGAAAGATTGGTCAGCCTGCGGTATATAAAGCAAACTGTGTTTGGGAAGAGACACTGCCGGGAGAAATCTATTGGAAATCTATTTGCAATAAAGCCGACGTGAGGTCATTCCTGTTCCAGTACCTATTTTTCTGAATCCTGAAAACATTCTCAGGCACGTGAAGATATAAAATATGAAATTCAAGAATAAACTTTGATTACTCTGGATGCTGAGAGAAGATTGCAAGTTCTAGGCCAGCCCAGGCAACTTAGCAAGACCCTGTCTCAAAATTTAAAAATTTTTAAAACAGCTGAAGATGTAGCTCAATGGTAGAGCACCCTTGAGGTCAATCTCCAGTGCCTTAAAAGATAAAATAGAATGAAACTTGCTATTTGAAAATATATGCTGCTTACTCTTGATATTGAGCAAATATCAGACTTGTTATGTTTAATGAAGCTATTTGATTTGGGGGGAAAAGGACTTGTCTTAATTATTTTCCTCATCACTCAGGCAAAGTAAAGGACACCCATAAGTTAAAGGGAGGGGGGTTTCTTTTAGATCAGTCACAGTTAAGTGTCAGCTGGCGTCAAGGCAGAACAGAATAGTAAAAAGGCCTGTGGAGGAGGAAAGCTACCCACTTCATGTTGGCCAGGAGGCAGAGAGCAAAAGGTGAAACTGGGAAGGGCGATAGAGCCTTCCAGGTCATGGTCCCAGTAATCCATCTCTTACTAGCCCCCACCTCTTCCCAATAAGTGGTCTGCAGCCTCCTCATAATCCAGTCACCTTCTACCGGCTCCACCTCTGACCGCATACGGCTTTGCAGGGACATCCCAGGGAGGTCCAAACCACAGCATTTTGCTCTTTGTGGATGTTTATTCACCTGGATAGGAACTTTCTAAATTTTAACATTTCCAAAAAAGTCACCTTGAACAGTTTGTTACAATGCAGTCCTGGCCCCCATCCCCAGAGATTCAGATTTAACGTATCAGAGAGGAGGCCTAAAGTTCTGAATTTTAATGAAAAGGTATCAGGACCAGCCTGGTCAGTGATCTGAGGAAAACTGCCTGGGAGATATTCCCCCTGTTCAGTTAACACATCTCCCTTCTCCTTATTCATAGGATGTAGCTCTGCAAACATAAAAATATTCTTCTCCTATTCTTCCTTTTTCTCCCTCCACCATGGATTAGTAGACTTAGAGAACTGGAACATATTCTTTTCTATTTGTAATTAGCTTTGATTTTGTGAACTTAAAATAGGTGTGACTGATTATTCTTTCATTTTCTTTTCTGATTACTAATTTTGAGAGCTTAATCTGTCTCCCCTTCATCACTTATGCCTCATATTGAATTTTGTCTTGTCTTGTCTTGCCCTATATGCCCTGAAAATTGTCTCTAAGATTGAGGACCTATTAGGGTTGCTGCTAGAAACACTTCAGGGCTCTGCCAGGGTACTGGAATCAGCAGAGTGAGTGCTGCCACAACTCTCCTCAGAACTCTTGCCCCACTGGGGCCACAAATAACCCTCTGAGTTGGAGTTACCACCAAAGCCATTTCCAGATCAAGCTACTGAGTCTATGGTACAAGTGGCATTGGTGAAGGCATAAAGTAAATATCTGAGTGTTTTTAGTCTAGGTCCCTGAACTCAGTATCCCATAGGCTTTGTTCTTTAACACACAGCCTCAAAGACGTAGGGGGAAAGTAGTAAAGGAAAGTTTGGTGATGCAATTTTTTTCTGTGAGGTTGCAGAAACTCTTTTGTTCAGAAGGGAGCAGGAGGTTGACAGCATTTTCTCCTTTGCCCCTGGGTTTTGCCTATAGCTAGCCATCTACTTCCAACTCTGGCACTTTTAGTTTCAATTTTTATGATGCTTTTTGCCCAAGTATGATTAGCACTACCAAGTAGCCATTCCACTTGCCCGTCTTTAAGACCAGTATTCCCAGGTCACATGTACCTAGGGAGTCCAGAAAGTGATAATCACAGACTTTTCTTTCAGTTGCACACAAGTCAAGAGCTTTCACAATTTAACACAGTCACTTTCTTCCACATAAATCATACTATAGACAAAATAATTGAGAAAGGATCAAATTTTCCTTTGGAAACCTATGCCTCTGCCTCTGCCTCTGCATGACAGATGGCGATTTCAAGGCAAGAGCCTCCTTTGAACAGACATTTCCTGTAAGGAAGGGACTGAAACATCTATGCAGCCAGGCTCTTGGAGGCACTGATCCCTCCCGAGGGCTTTCCTCCTCAAGGTGAAGCAAAATAAGTCTGAACCAGAAGTGGAAATGTACCAAATGGTTCTGACAGAGCTTTCATTAATGGAGACTCAGACATTTTGGCTGGCAGATACCACCATGCAAATCTCCTAATAATGAATATGCCAGGTAGCTTGAAAGAACAGTCCAGGACCAAGACCACTATCCTGGAATGCCTTCTCTGCTTCTCACTAGGCAATAAATATGCTCTCCTGCAGGACCCAGGCAATGTAGTACAAGTGTTCATCCACCACAGAGTATTCAATAGAATTGATTGAGTGTCTGATTCCCTACTCTATTGTGACAGCAGAGTGTATATCTTCATCCATCTCATTCCTGGTTTCTATTTCTGGCACTTAGTAGGTGCTTAATACATGTTTACCTACTGCGTGAACAGATGCATGGCATGGAATGGTATAACAGCTTTAGCAACCTTGGCAGATTGTCATGCAAAGAGAAGTTGTTTTGGTCATTTATGCATTACTGTCTAGAACTAGAATCGGGCAGTGGGTGCCCTGGTTTGGACAACAGAAAACTAACAGAGGAGTTAGTTTTAAACAATCAGGACATTGAGAAGTTCAGAGAAGCTGAATGCCTTGGGGAGGTAGTGAGGACCCATCAAGGAAAGTATTTAAGCTAGAAACTGATCTATGCAAAGATGTTCTAAAGCCTGGACATTCTGAGGAGTGTCCAGTGTAGACACTTTAAGGTTTCTCCCAGCTTTGAGACTGCTTTCAGGATTTGTTTTTATTCACCTGTATGGCTGCTTTATTGGTCTGAATATATATGGGGATATTTTTCATCTTCCAAAGTCATCCAAAGCAACCTCTCTACTTACCTAAGGAGCTTTTGGTGGGAACTGAGGATTGACTTATAGTGCGGCTGACTCATATGTTGCATGATTCACTGTGCTCTATAGATGCCCCCAAACACGTATATCATTGTGTCTGCCGTTCCGAGATGACACTGTTATTTCCCCACCTGTGCAAATACAGCTGTAAAAAATGATGCATGACCAGCGTCCCTTCCCCAGAGTGTAGACAGAGAATACACACCCTCTAGCTTAACACACCCACAAGGCGCACACACGCTCTTTTCAGAATTTCACCATTCGATTTCAAGTCTGTTAAAAAGAGAAGAAAATTGCAAATGAACTCACATTACCTGCAAAACCAAACCGAGCTCCCTTCAAAATCACTGAAGACATTAAGTCTGAGGTCTACAGAATCTCCTTCAACCTCTGTGGCTCCCCAGAAAATCAAAAGGTTTCCAGCAGCTTCAGCAAACAAGCAGGGTCTGCGCCTTCTCTCTTTGTTAGGGATTTGATTCAAACTGTGTCTGCTAGCACTGAAATACAAAAGGAAAAAAACTTGGAATGATGTAGCTTTGAAATTTTTTAGCAAGCACCACGGGAAAGAATAATAAACCATAAATTGCGGCATCTGGCCTTAAATTTATAAAGAAAACAATAATGCAAGGAATCAAAAATGTTACTTTCCTTTGTCATTTAAAAGGGGAGTTTGTACTCTTCCTCGCTGTTTTTTTCATTCTTATTTGACCAATGGTGAAACCGCATCAAAAGCAGCATCACTTTCCCCCCAACTCCTCCAATAAGCAATAAACTTTTTGCCTACAAATTTCTACAAATTTAAGCAACAAAGAGATTGAATAAAGTTGAGAAGAGTGCGGCCCTTCACTCAAAAGAAAGTCTACAACTGGTTTTCTGATTAGGAAACAAAGCCAGGAGATACCACAAAAGAGATACCTCTGCTATTGAACCTGAGATTTAAAGTAGCCACCTAAGTTCAAGGTGAAACCCCTCCTTCCTCCCCAGACACCCTCTTCATGCCAGAGGTGCTATTGAATCATGTCTTCTGCTAACAGGAACAGACTATAGAATGAAGGCTGGAGCCTAAGTCCTTTTTTTTTTCTCTTTTATGTGCTCTCAGCAAGCCAGGACCAATTCTATTATATTTTGCTCATTTGGGCAATCATCTTGGACTGTTATAATAAACACGCAAGAATTTTTTTTCCTCTGCTGTAGCCACTGCTTGCTGTGCTGCTCAAAATAACTTTCCAAGCTGACAAAAGCACTGCAAGTCTGTAGGCCTATTGGTGTAGACTCTATCCCTGTGTACCTGGATGCTGCGGGAGCTTAGTCTGAATGTTCCCAGCTCTGGTGCGGCTGTACCTGACAGAGAGATTTCTGCAAGAAATCATAATGGGCAGTGCTAATGAACAGCAGTAAGAGGCCTCCAGATAAGAAATAGGGCTTCCCAGAGACTGTCAAAGGTAAGTGATTCTCTGTGCCCCTCTTGCTCCTTCAGCCCAAGGCATGAGGTATCCAGTGGAGCTGCCACGTCAGGGAATGAGCCAAATGGAGTGTGTCTCGGTGATAAGGTCAGAGGACACAGAAAGGATTTCTTGCTAGAATAAGAGAGTGTCTCTCACCATCTCTGCAACCTGGCTCCTTCAGGTATATTAAAAATACAGCTGACATTGCATGGAATTGGCTAGGGTAGATTGTGAGCATGAATATTTTTCGTGTCCCCCCACCCAGGTGATTTTAGAGTTGAGAACCCATCTTCCAGGCTCTAGAGGGAGAAGAGAGGGTTATAGAACTATGCAGAGGATTATACCCAGAGTTAAACAGTACAATGTAGGCTACCCTCACTACTGCTATTAATCCAAAGGCTGGTTGCACATCATGATGGCAGTATCTTGATTGCAGTCCTGTGGAAGAAATGGGTTTGTTCTAGAAGTCTGGGGTCCTCTCACTAGTCTCTACCCAGGGTAAGGGTTTAGAAAATATAGACTGCTTGTCACAGTGAGCTCTAGGAGTGGATTGGCTCAATTTCTCTTTCCCAGGCCCCTGTACCTATGGACACAAACCATGAGCACAATCCATTTTGTTATAGAGTACTGAATTTGGATGCTTGGGTTCTACTGCCTTGATCAAGTTCCTCTCTTTCCCAAGCCTCAGTCTACATATTTGTTGAATAAGGATATTGGATTTTGTAATTGATCCCTCAAGGTCTACCTGCTTTTAATTTTCAGTGGCTTTCAAAGATTGAGTCAACAAAATATTCTTCTCTGTTTGCTAACAGGAGACCAGGAACAGTGACAAATGCCCTTCCATGTTTGGTAGATAAGCAACACCAGAGGTACAGAGAAGGAGCAGAAGTAAGATTGCCAGGCATGTTCGGAAGAATGCTAAATATTACGTAACAAATGTCCCCGAAAATAGAGACAGCATGGAAAGGGGAATGGGGAGAGATTCCTAGTTACCTGGATGTAGGTTGTGGAGGGTCTTGTGTGCCTCAGTCAGCTCAGTCTTTGGATTTACTGGAAAATGGACTCAAACTCAACCCCTGACTGTTTGCCTAAAAACTGATGCCAGCTCCAATAGCCGCATCATCATGGTCCCTTAGCTGAGAGCTCATACCTTACTGTTCTTCTAATGACTAAGTGCCTGGCACTTGAGTGATTAATTAGTGAAAATTTTTGCTTAATTTATGGCAGATATCCTGATGAACACTGAAAAGGAATAATAAGCACACAGGGGCCAGGGATATAGCTCAGTGGCATGAGCACCTGCCTGGCAAGTGCAAGGTCCTGAGTTCAATTCCCAGTACAAAAAAAAAAAAAAAAAGATACAATAAGCACACAGCTGATAAGCTACAAGATAAACTCCAAGTTCCCTAATATCCATTTTTTCTAAAGCCTCTGGAAACATATAACTGAAGTTTAAAATGTATTTTCTGATTCTTGTGATGTTATGAACAGCCTTTGGCCACCAGATTTTTCTATGCCCACACAGGGACACTGTTTGTACATTATTTTGGATGAAATGGAGTCATTTACATACATTTGCATAGTGCTTTCAAAAGGCCTTAATTCCAAGTGTGTCAAATAAAAACAAATTAGTGTAATCTACTGCCATTGTAAGGCAGCCCAGCTTGGGGATCTTGATAGTGCTGGGCCAAGGCTGCAAGAGTTGGAAGCCAGCTTTTGAGAAGCTATGACCACCTCTACTCAGTGTGTCCAGAGGTAAACAGAACCAATAAAGTTTGAGAACAGGGAACCCTTTGGGACAAGTAAAGTCACAAGCATGTGGCCGGTTTGCAGTTCAAACCCCACTGACACCCCTTATGTCATTTCAACCTCACCCTGTGTGCTTCTTAGGGCCGAGATTGTTAGGAGCTTGTTAGCAAGGGGATTAGAGAAATTAAATTACTTGCTAGTTACGCACTAGCAAGTGGTCATGCCTAGATGCAAACCTGAAACTTCCAAAGCCAGGCCTTTTGACATCAGAGGCTTCATACTCTGAGAATTGACCCAGAGTTGCTTGAAAAGCAGTGAAAGGTCCTCATTGACTGCTAATCCAGTGTTTCCACTTTAGACAACGCGCTGCTATTGTGAAGCCACATGAGGGAACCTCCTGATTGTGCTGGGGCTGCATCACCCAGCTTCTGATGCATCTGGCCAAAAGTAATTGCCGTTTTATCATTTGAGACAGTTATTTGAAAGTTATGGTAATGGGGTGAAAATATAAGCAGCTTACAGTTTACTAGAACATTAATCCTCTGGAGATGATTTCTTTTTCTCTGTGCATCTCTGTCGGGCCTTTTCCTTTGCATGAAGTAGAATTTATTTTTAGACTTTTCTCCCTGTGATCTACTGTCACTGATCCACCCTTGCCTACTTATTAATGTCCATATTTGCTAAGGTCTACATAAAGGTTTCTAGTGCAGGTCCCAGATAAGAAGCGCTCTGCTCTGCAGAAACACTGTTTAGCAATAGCCTGAGAGATACACATGGGGAAGTAGGCAGCAGCCCATGCACTGTGGAGCCAGACAGCGCTAAGTCTAAATCCTGGCTTTTCCATTTTTGATGACTTGGCCGTGGCCTTTCTGATACTCAGGTTTCTTCATCTGTAAAAGAGGTTGCGCATCTGCAACTCCCAGATACTCAAGCAGGTGCTCTGAGGCCAATGCTGTGAACTTGGGGAAGTCTGGCTGGGACAGGCTTGCGTGGGCCTCTAGGGTCAGCTTCTGCAGCCTATAGTCCTAGGATGCAGAGAGTATTCAAAGATCCACTTACCCTTGAGAGATAGGATACACTGCCCACAGCCCACTTTAGTAGAACTTTTAAGGCTACAAGTGATCTTTATAATATTTTTATAAAGTCAAAAGGAAAAACTGAAGTCTTAGGTTTAATAAAATTTTTAATATATAACATTAACATATTTGTTTTTATACTAAGGCAACCACAAATAGAAGTTTTGATGCATTTGTTGGACAAAGGGTCCCTTGAAGACAAAAGGGTTTGGAGCCACCAGAAGTCTTAAAGAATACCTGCCTGCTCCTGCGCAGTCTTCTGTGGTCCCCTGAGAATCCACTCTTCACCTATTCAGTCTTCATCTGCACTTCTTTACACTACAAACAAGTATCCAAATTGGCCAGCCATGGGCTGACCTGGCCCTCAAATCTCAAGAGGCCCAGGAAGAACCACCTTTCTGAGGAGGCCAAGTGTACCAAGATGACTTTGGGTTCGCTCCTCCTCAGCCTCTTACCAGCTCCGCATCTTGTTCTGGTTATTATCATTCCACATTCCTCAGTTTCCCTGTTCCTGCCTGACAACCCCTCCACTACCTGATGCCAAGCAACAGGAGAGAGGAGGGCAGCAGTGCAGGGCTGGAGCTCCAGACTCAGTATTACATGGCACAACTATTGTTACCTCAGAGTTTCTCCATCCGGGGACTTTTCTGGAGATTAAATAAATACTTCAAAGCCATCATATTGTTCTTTAGTATGGTTTACTTAACATAAGCCATTCTGTTTACTTAACATAAGCCATTCTATTATTTTATAGACCCAGAATCCATTTGTGATGTGATTGTTGATGCCTCAGTTTCTCCATCTGCAAATTAGACCTAATAAGAGCAACTTCACTGGAGCAACGGGAAGGGGAATGAAATTACAGCTGAGAAAGTACAAAATGCCCTTGAGAATAAAACAGACTAGCTAAGCTTGGAGTTTTTTTTTTTTTTTTTTTTTTGGTTTTTCTCCGGTACCGGGAACCGAACTCACGACCTTGCACTTGCCAAGCAGGCGCTTTTGCCGCTGAGCTAAATCCCCAGCTCGCTTGGAGTTATTATTAGCATGCTTGTCAGGGAGCCCAAGCCTCTCAGAGTGCCTGGGGCATGAGGATTTCCTGTGTCTACAGGGCTAAACATACACCTCCACTTCCTTCTTGAATCACCATCAGTTAATTTTATCACTACTAAATGAGCCCTGATTTTCTGTTGTTTTCAGTCTATACTCATGCCCTGTGAAGGGCTGAGTGAGCCAGAGGGGGCCCAGCGAGGCCATCCAGACTGGTCCATTCTCAGCCATGTTTGCTGGAGTGTGGGCTGAGGGCTAGGGAAAAAAGAACAAGGGGAGAAGTCAGTGGGTAAAGGAGGGCAGCAGCAATCAAAGACAAAGAAGCGGGGGTCCAAGAAAAGACAGTTAAACATGTCTGAAGGCTGGGAGAGGACACCTCAGCTTCTAGTATCACTCAGGTCTGTGCCTCATTCTCCATTCCATGGTCTTTTTTGAGCTGGACACTCAGGAAGTATTCCCAGAGTCCCTGCACCCCTTGTCGCATTGCAGCCACCGTGTGGCAAATAAACAAGACCTGCTAGAGCCATGTTTTGTCTATTTCATGTTTTAAGTTAGAACTAGGGATCTTTGACCTGAAAAGGACATAGGAAATCATTTGCCTAATGTTGTCTGCCTACAAATGAAGAAAGCAAAGCCTAGAAGCTTCAGGTAGTTATGTAAGGTCACACAACAAACAAGTCAAAGACTAAGACCCAGGTCTTCTGGTGCCAAGTTCAGTGTTACTTTAACTGTGTGTGGCCACACACATTCCATCCCACATGCCTGGGATTCTAGGACTGCCTTCACTTTTATTATGCTGTTCATCCTTACACCAGCCAAGTCTGGAAAACAAGTACTATACCCCACTTTTACCGGTGTGAGCCGAGACTGACAGATAATTCAAGATCACCCGGGTCAGTGCAGCAGGACTGGTGTAACCAAACACTCCTGATTCCCAGATGTCCTGGGGCTTCTTCCCATACTACCTTGGAGCCAACTGCCCAGAGCTCTGTGGTTATGGCTATTGTGAAGAATCCAGGATCCCCATCCATATTTATAGTAAAACTTCTGGTTCAACTGCATTCATGTTTAGAAGTCTCAACATTTTTTAAAATTTATCAGAGGAAAGAAAGTAACAATAGAGTTGATGGGCAATCTGTATAATTAACACCCCAAAGCTCCTAGTACTGTAAGGTTTTTGGATTCAATGCATTCTCCCGACAGATGCTCTTTTCACTGGTCAAGTGGCATTATCATGAGGATTATAATGGGGAGAGAAAGTGCCTGGCAGAGGACAGTGGAGAGTGGGCATGATTTGGGTTTGTCATTAGTGATCTTAGGTACGCTTCAGTGTACCTAGGAGACTGCTTTCTGCAAAGATTTGAATGACGAAGCCAGTGAGTTCCAGAGAAGGAGTTGGACATCTGTTTCTCAATTAGTGTTAATTTAGCTTGTTTGGAAATGATTTGTGCCTCTACAAGACAGCATAACTAAAAGTTGTTTTCTTTCCTTTGACCATAACTTTTTATTCATCTCACAATGGGCCAGATGGATGCATCAGAGGGGCGTTGCTGGGATGCAGAAGAATGATGGATATTCCTGTTCCCACCCATGTTTGAAAAGACATTGTTACCCCTTAATCTCACTACAATCACCATCTCAGTTCAAGGCCTTGAGAAATGCCCAGCCGCTTCCGAAACACTTCTTAGAAGCACATAATCAGTACCCTGTTGTTGTTACACCAGAGCTGATATTCAGGTGGTATACACTACCCTGGTTGTGCTGGTTAATAAAACATTGACTTATTTACAGATGAGTTGGAAAATAGTCAGGTCTGTAAGTCCTGCAGGTGTTGCATCACGTCCTTAGCTGCCTCAGACTCAGAGAACCCTGATGAGTACAGATGAAGCACTTAAGTACAACCAACCTGCCAGTCAGGCCCCAGGGGCTCCAGTATATCTGCTCCACTCCTGTACATCTCCCTCCCTGCCAAAGCAGGTCTGGCCTTGGTGAGAGAGACAGCATCCCTTATAATTATACTGGCCCCTAGCAGGCAGTTGCCTACTCTGTGGTTCCCCTAGAAGGCCCCTGGGTGACTGGTTGCTAAATGATTTCAATATCACACTTTGTCTTTAAATTCTCTAGTGAGTTCCGCAGGGAGACCCATGCTATTCACAGGGCCCAATGCAGAGTAGTGAACTCTCTGCTCTTGGATATGATGTTGACATAGGCCCAAAGAGTATGTCCCTGCCCTTGAGAAAAGCATACCAGCCCTACTTCTTACAGTGGTCCAAGTGGGCTGTGCTAGACACTGACTGCCTAGACTCTGCCTGCAAAAGTAAGCTGGCTCAGCTGGTGGGAAGCAGAAGTCTACAGTGGTCTACTGAAGCCAGCCACTCTTGATCCATGAGTTATCAGCCGGGGTCCAGAGAGAATCAGGAGTCAGAGAAGCAGAGAAAGCAAGAAGAGATGAGAAATGAACAAGATCTAGCTGGTTTTTCTCCTCAAACGGAGTCCATGGATAAATAAGGGTCTGTGAGTTGTCTATTTGATAATTTAAATGATGCTTTCATTTCAACGGTAATCTTAAAAAAGACACTTTCACCTCTACCCTTGGGTTTGAGACTTCAATCACCTTGGTACCAAACAATGGCGCTTTCTTTAATTGTCACGGTACATGACAAAAGATGTGAGGTGCTTGGCAAGGACCAATGTTCCTGAAGGCCAAATGATTGCCAGGAACCCTAATAAGAGAAGCGTTTGCAGCAGGTGGTGTACCAGCAATTCTCTAGAAGGTTTGATTCATCACATAACCCACATAACACAGGAAAATCAACATTAAAAGACCCGTATCTGTCTTCCCATCCTGCTGAAACAAGATACCACAAATGATGTACGGCTTTTCTCTTATACCTCTGGAGGCAAGAAATCCAAAAGTCATGGTGTTGGCCAGACCATGTTCCTGCTGGGTAGAATCCTTCTTTATCTCTTCCCAGCTTCTGGTGGTGGCCATCAGTCTTTGGTGTTCCTTGGCTTGCATCTACATCACTTGAACTTCTTCCCTGTCATCATACGGCTCTCCTTATGTGCATCCCCCCGACTCCTTTTCTTAAAAGAACACCAGCCATGTTGGATTACAGCCCAGCCAGTGAGCTCCTCTTAGCTCAGTCACATCTGTAGAAACCCCACAGACAGTCATATTCTCAGGTACCAGGGATTAGGATTTTGACCTATCTGGAAGACACAGTTTAGCCCATAGCAGAACTAAAGAGGAGAGGTCTACCTGTTGCCTCGTTAGCAGCAATATTGTTTCTGCCTTCTATCATTGAATTGATCTGTTCATTAAAACAATGAGATTTCTTTTACATTTATATTGACTTTTTTCCAAGTAATTATTGAATTATTATTGTTTGGCTTTAATAGCCATGAAAGAGCTATAAGCGTAAGGAGTTTCTGCCCACTTTTATGCTGCACATTTGAAACTAACTTTATAGTACATAATTTGTCAGTGCAGGTCATCCTTGGCAATCTTCTCCTGTTCTGCTTAGGGTGGTTGTACATTGTTTCAACATCCTGAGAGCTATGTGAATTTCAGATGTGGGAAGAGACTGTGCCTTTCCAAAATGTGTATGTGTACATAGATCTGTTAACAGAAGCTTGCATAAGTAAATGGTCTGCTTCCAATGCTCTAAAAACCGTTTTACTCTTATGATCAATAGACACTCCAAGATACACGTTGGGTGTTGAAATAGCTTGGAGACAAGATAAATGCTGATAATGTTAGAGCCCTCCAGTTCTATGTCCCTCAGTAGTCCTATCTAGGCCAGAGAAAGCTCAGATTTGCCTTAGTGTCCTATAGGCAGAGCTGGTCTGGAGATAGACCAGACTCCAAAAAGTTAGATGGGCCCTGGAGCCATAGAGAACTAGAAGACATTCTAAGACAAGTCCAAAGTTCACTTCTTCTAGAATTGGTGAGATTCCTAAGGGACAGTATAACCTGTTCTATCGACCACCAAGGCCCTAAGGACAAGTTTGACTTCAGCATTCCAAAAAGTGATCTACAGCATCAGTCCTAGGCATTTGCTTCATGCTCTTTGATTCAGAAATGGATGGATAAACATTAGTGGGGCTTCCGGGCTCTACCTAAGTATCACTAAATGCAGATTCCTGGGGGATAAGGATAGGATCTGGAAGAGTACCCTTAAGCAAATACATAGGTTTCTTGACATATCCTTAAGTTTTATTTTAATTTCAAAATGTTTAAACCTCATCTTTTAAAAAATATTAAACTTAGTTCCTCAAAAATATTTTATTAAAATTAATGCTGCTGAAAGATATTCTAGATTTTTCCTGTGTCACAGTACATACACCAGTTCTGGTCCCATCTCACCTGTAATCTCCAGTTAATGAAACACTAATGATAATACTACTAATAATAATTATTATTATTATTATTATTATTTAAAGGATTTCTATGAAGAGCCAGTTGCAAAAATACAGAATAAAGAACAAGAATACCTGACTCAA